GAAACCCTAGAACCTTGAACCCTAAAGCCCTGAGCCCGGCAAGACGCTGCCCGATGCCAGGACCTGCGAGATGCTGGCTTTAACCAGGCGGCCTCCCGACGAGCCCGGGTCAAGACATAAGGACCCCTAAAAGGGGGGGGGGGGGGGGGGGGGNNTACCTGCAATAAGGACCTAATAAGGCCTTTCAACAGGAAGTAGGAAGTATAGTCCCTACCCCTCCCACTTATCCCCCCCTAAGGGTCCCTATGATTAGTCTTCAGAAGGTTGAGAAAAGGCTAAAACGGTCTACTCTAAGTGGGTGTTTTGGGTGTTTGGGTGGTTGAGGACGTGCAAAACTTCGGATTTGTTTATCAGGGTTGCACGTGCGACAAGCTGCTTGGGGATTTTGGCGTCGGGTTTTGGGGTAAGGGGCTTTGGGGCCAGACGCGTCTCACGGATTCAGGGTTTAGAGTCTAAGCTTTAGCGTTTCGGGTTTAGGGTTTGGGTTCAGACCTCTTGCGTGGGAGGCGTGCGTTTGTGGACTGATGAGCAATAATGGCTCAGCTCTGGCCTTTTGGTTTGGGGTGTAAACCCTAAACCCTAAACCCTAAACCCTAAACCCTAAACCCTAAACCCTAAACCCTACAGTCAGGGAACAATGGCTTTTCGGCTCAGGCGGGGTTTAGGGAACTATGGGTCTCAGCTCCGGGGCTTAGACTCTCAGGGGGAACACAGAGATGAAGTGGCCTTAATGATTAGGGTTTTGGGATATATTATACTATAGTTATAATAAGGATCCCCAAACCTCCTATTCTAAAGATTAAGGCCCCTACGTTACCCACTTGCGGGACTTCGTTTCAGTGTTTTCAGAACTGACCCAGGCCCGCAGCCGCACCTGCCTACGTTGAGCCGAGAAGTTCTCCGAGCCTGGCAAACCTGCTTTGGGTATCAGGGTTTAGGGTTTAGGGTTTAGGGTTGAGGGTAATCCACAACCGCCAGAACGTTCACCGAGCTCAGTTTTTGTCTTTAAGGTGTGGGGCTCACATGGCGTGTTCTCGAAATCGGGGTCCCTTCTCAAGCACCGGAAGAAAGCTTCGCTCTGAGAATAAGAGTCTTCGAAAAGGCGTCCTGAGCGGGACCCTAATGTAGTGACACGATCGCTAAACCCGCTACACCCTACTGAACACACTCAGAAACCTAAATCCAATCAACGCAAGTAGAATCCTTCTGAGGGTTAGTTCTCTAAATGAGGGTCCTTTGAGGGTCTTTTTTATCAGGGTTCCGTACGATTTTGGGGACTTGAAACGGGACCCCAACTTAGAGAAGTATTCATAGAGCTTTTTAGGTGCAGAACCCTTTGTTTCCCTAAAGCTCTACCCTAAATCCTAAACTCCTAAACACTAAACCCTAAACCCCTATAAATCCCAAAACCTTGTTTCCTAGCACTCCTGTCAGGCCTTCCCTTCGCACCTCTATCGGAAGGCCACCATCGCCCAATCTGCGTGGGACTTATGGAATCCTTTAAGGGGCTCCTTTCAAGGTTTAGGGTTTAGGGTTTAGGGTTTAGGGTCAGGGTTTAGGGTTTAGGGTTTAGGGTTTAGGGTTTAGGGTTTAGGGTTTAGGGGGGGCTCCTTTCAAAGGGTCTTATAGGGTTTCCTTCAAGGGTTCTCTTCAGGGTTCCTTTTATAAAGAGTTAAGGGTTGCATAGCGGGTTTCGGCAAGGGGTGATATACGGATTCTAGCAGGTTTGCCGTACGGATGGACTTAATGACTTAATCGACACTTATCGGCGTCAGGGCCGTCTGGGATGTGGGGCCATGGGTTTTGGTTTAGGGCTTTTGTGGTTCAGGGGTTGAGGCGATTCAGGTTGAAAGGGTAGTTCGGACGTCGGGCCCTGTTCGCATCCGCCCGGGTATGCCGTGGGCCTGATTTCTGAAACCGTTAGCCGTGAACCCGAAGAACTCGATGAGAACGCCAATACTCCGGCTCTTAGAACCAGAAACCATGAGTTCCAAGCCTCCGAACCTATCACCCCAAACCGCAAACCGCAAGCTTTGAGCCCTGAAGCCGCCAACCCGAAGACTTAAAACGAGAGCCCTGAGCCTTCTCCTCATCGCTCTTGGTGACATGCCGAAGGCCCAAATTTTCTTTTGGCTGCAGTATTCTGTAATCGCTAACCGCTAGACCCTACACCGCTTTCGTGATACCAAAGGCGCAAGCACAACACCGCCCTACAGCAGAAAAGCAGACACTGCCGGGATCCACTCTTGCCGCTCTGTTCTCAAAGAAACTCGTAAAGCTGCTCCTTGATGTTCAGTGCATTCCTCACATCCTATTATAGGGGTCTTAACAATCCGCACATGGCTGGGGGGGGGGGGGGGNNGGGGGGGGGGGGGGGGGGTAGATCATAACATCACCACACAGGTACGAAGGCGGAGAGAACTGCGAATGATTCAGAACGCCCCAAAGCCTCCAGTGTCCTGCGCCAACACTGCCGGCTTGCAAGCCTTAGTCTCTCAGGACCTGTGTGGCTTCACTAAGTTGGCGAGTACGCGCAACCCAGAAGAGGCCGCGATTCGATTTTTTACGTCGTTGCTGTCCATTGGGATGCCTGGATATTTACGGTTACCGGCACTACTTGTTAGCAAAACATACAGGCTAGAATGTTAATTCCGAGGAAGGCTTGTATTGATCTTGGCATTGCCACATTATGATGGTTCTCACCAGTGCTTTCAGTAGTATCTAGATTGACGACTTCCCTAAAGCCTAAACGCTATGTGGCTGGGCCTGTGTCCATGGTTTTTGCATGAATCTGACAGCCAGCCCACCGAAAACAAACACAAGCACGGTACGGATGATGGCGCATACCTTTTCAGCTCGGCACATTATAGGCTGGTATTTTAGCTTGGCCTGGCCATAGATATTAAAGGGGGGGGTTCCCATAAAGGCACTGGACGCCATGGACTCGCGTACCCTAAACCCTTGCGGTACCTTCCTTTACCGTTCAAGGAACCCTTTAAAGAACCCTTTAACGGGCACGTGGACGCGTAGGGTTCCTTGTCCTGACAGGTTGTCAGCTTCATTGGCGAGCTCTTTGGGTGCCGCCAGCGAAGTTTCAGTCGAATTCCAGTGTTGCTTGGGAGGGTTAACTTCACGGACAGGCAAGGGGTTTAAGGGATTTTGGTGGCTTACGGTTTTTGGATTTAGGGCTTGAAGGCTTTGGGGTTTGTTTAGGGGATGTAGTGGTTCAGGTTTATGGCACGGACGTATGCACAATAGGCTAGGCTGAGAGCTAAGTGCTCAAAGGGTTTCGATCGCTTCTGACGCGCAGAGGTGTTAAGAGTTGAATCAACGCGAGGGGGGAGGGTCCTATCCTACTATAGGGGCCTTAAGAATTACCTTCCTAGTTTGGGGGCTCCTTATTATAACTATAGTATAATGGGCCAGGAGGGGATGAAAGGCTTGGCGTTTGCATAGCATCGGTACTCAGGGGTCATTTCGAGGTAAGGGGATCCTTTCTTTGAGGACCCCGTTTTGGCATTGGGGACCCGTGCTGTGAACATGAGTTGTTTTATGTGTGCAAGGTTTTGATTGACAGTCGCAACAGGCGACCCTGCACCAGAAAAGGTACAAGCGAACAAAAGCTGTGCAGTTCGTCGACGGCCGTGCTCGCACGTGGCGCCAGGCTTTTCGACAAACTGACCGACAAGTACGAGGTGTACAAGGCGAGCACCTGAATCTAGGCCACGGAACCCCGGTCCTAATCCTTGCATCCCCCAAACATCCTAGATCTTCGCCTGATGAGAGCTAACCATATAGCACTGGATCATGCCGGGGGGGTTGACCATATATATATATATATACACACATACAGTCATGTGTGCGTGTGTGTCTATACGTATGTTATAGCCTTACCATGACTGATTAGTCGATGCCGTGGGCCAGGGAACTCCGTCGATGGGAGCTTGAAAAGAATGCAGGATGCTAGGAAGGGACACTCAGTGTGAACCGGACGCTGGGACCGTGTGACCTTTGCTTCTGGTGGTTCACCTAGGGTTCTTATTATGGTGGTTCTAAGCGCAATGGTGGTGTGGCAGTCGCGCCGCCTTACAACTTCAAAGCATCAATACCTTGTGCGGCTGCAAGGGAGTTTTGAGTCGGTTCCTGCCCCTCCACCCCCGAAAACACACAAACATACATGCATATAGTCATTACCTATATTAGAATCCTGTAAAGCAGGAACAGAAATCAACAGGTCATGCCCACGCATTCAGCTGCATGTGCTCCGAACTTTCAGGGCGGAAAGAAACGCGCCAAGCAGAATCGAAACCAACGTCACACATCGGCGACGGAAGTTCGCAGTACTTTTGTAATTGGCATGAACAAAATTGCTCGCCGGCTAGAAACAGCTAGACATTCATGCTGTGGGAGCTTCGGCCCAGGGCACCAGCCCTTTCCAGCCCTCCCAGCCCTAGTCCAATCCGGTGACCGTGCCCCGGCCCTGCTCCGGTGAAGCCAGCCACATCATCTGCAGTTCTTTCCCTAAACCCCTAAACCCTAAACCCTAAACCCTAAACCCTTTCAGTTTACTTAGACCTTGCCCCGGGCCTTTCTGCGCCAACTTCCTTGGAACCCTCCTGGGCCGTTTTGAGTCGAATGACACTCATCAATCTCTCGCTTTCTTTCAAGCCTTTGTGCATGCTGCTTTTCGAGCAAAATTCCTGCACTGGCGCACTTAGGCGCAAGGCTTCCAAAATTTAGGGAGATATGGTTGAGTGTAGCCGTAGTCACTGTTTAAATCCCTAGTTACGAACCTGTAACCGGAGAGGTCGAAACGGTGGGCGATGCGTACATCGCTGGTCAGGCGGAGCTGATGAACTGGACCTTTAGCATATAGTGGGTCTAGGGATTTAGGGTTACAAGGCGTTTAGGAGTTGAATGTCTAGGTTGAGGGTTAAGTTTAGGGCTTCAGGGTTTACGGGTTTGGGGTGTAGCGTCCTGTCTCTAATCTTCAGTTAGGCGCTCAGCATGCAGACTAATGCAGCTTCGTTGCTGGCTTGCTTGTTCAGCAGTAACGGCTGCTGCCGTTGAGGGATCTGCTGGCTTGGCCGTAACGATGTTCAAGGTGCATTCAACAGCAAGCTGCCTACTCACAACCCTAAGCCCTAAATCCCACAACTTGGAGCCCGAACCCCAAAACACTAAACGCTTGGAGCAAGCCTTGAAAAGCCTCGGTCTCAGGAAGCTGCGCATCAATCTTCGGATTCAGAAAGCACAATACAGATTGCTTCGTAGACAGTTGTTGTTGCTACTGACACTATAAAGAGAACTGGTATGTTTCCTATCAGGAGTTTTAGCGCTGTTGTCATGATCATGGCTTCACTGCTATATTTTTGGTATCGGCTGTCTTCTAGGTGCAGAAACGCAGCGATCACCTGCACGAAAATGTTGCAGCCCTCCTCGTTCTGGCGCGGGCCCTTGATCAAACACGAAGTCTTGCAGCCCGTTACAGTCATAAACCCAGAAAACCCAAAGCCCAAACCCGAAACCCGAAAGCCCATGGCTGTCTTTAAAAAACACGGCGGAGAATCTCATAATTTGTGTACATGCTAGAAAAATGACTCTTATTGTTCCCTGCCCCTCGTCATCATAATGATGTTATAATATGGCCCGAATCCCTAGTCTAATAATTAAGGCCCCTGTATAAGCCCTTCACCGACGTCTTGTGGGCAGGCGGAGGTGCCTTTGACATTCAAGAACTCGCCCATGAATGTCGTCCCACGGCTTGCTCGGGCTCAGGGAATTTAGGTTGTCGGGTTTCCCGGGTCCCCCACCCTAAACATGGCAGGGCTGCAGGAACAAGAGCTCCTGTGTGGGTTTTCTAGAGGAGAGCTCGTTCAGCCGGTCTAGCCGGTTCTGAATTTAGGTAAACCCTTTGTAAGAAGTTGCATGAGCATGAGATTGTCAGGTATGGCCCCGACCCTACTCCCATGTATCACTGCTTACTCCTACCTCTCCCTACCTACCTATTTCTACTCTCCTGCCTTTATACGTGTTTCGACTGCTGCATTCTGAGCTCGAAGAGGCAAAGCCGTGGGTTCAATCCCGACACCGCACCGATCGATTCGATCCGATTCCCGATTCGATTCCGGATCTTGTTGTGAGGTTGGTTGTCCATGCTTTTGTTTTTATATCAGTTGGTAGTTAGAATGCGTAGAGCATTGGTCATATTCGTGTATGGTGCACCTTGAGTTTACAGGGAGCTGTAGATGCATGCAAGTTTCACGTATACACATCTTATACATGCAGATGCATCGTATCTACATGTGAAGGCTGCAGCCTGATAAGACCCTCTGAAGCCTAAGCCCCAGCTCCAAAAACCTCAAACCTGGAAACCTAAACCCCAGACCCTAGACCTCAACGCGCTTAGCCCCCGAAACCCTAAACCCTAAACCCTAAACCCCAAGAACCTAAACCCAAACAGCACAGCGAAGGTTCGCTTCGGCCTCGACATGGCAGTCGCCCCGGAAACGAGAATGTGCATGTTGAGCTTAGGGACTACGGCTTTTAGGATTTACGGTTTTGGGGATTTTGGCTTTGGGGATTTAGGGCTTTGGAATTTAAGGTTTAGGGCTTAGGCGTTTAGGGATTTAGGGTAGGTTTCAGGGCCTCCGGTGTGGTGTAGGGGGGCACGGTAGCTTCAGTAAGCCCTTTGCAGCTACAGTTTACAGGATTAGTGAAATATAGGGGCGCTACCACTACTATTTTGGGGTTCCCTGCTATAAGTATAATGTACCCCCAAAACCTTATTCAACATATTTAAGACTCCCATATAATGTATGTCGGGAGCCGCTTGCCTCTCCTCTTTTGTAAGGTACCCTAAACCCTAAACCCTAAACCGACGGGATTGATATCTCGCCCCTGAACCCTCGTCTTTCTTTGGCTCGGGTGTCGGTTTTACCGACTGAGAGGTCGGAGTTCGGGTGCTTGGGGGTTTAGGGTTCAGGGTTTAGGGTTTAGGGTTTAGGGTTTATTTTATGACGGCAGCTGTAAGGGTTGTTTTCGGGTGTTCAATTGAGGTGACTCGTTGCTTTGGCCGGGAGACTGGAGCTTGCCCTATAGGCTTTGGACTCAGGTGCTTGAGACGCACAAATGGTCGCGGCGGATGAACGAACAAGTGAGGCGGGATTGCCAAGATTGCAGATGCGATGCAACAGGAATCAGTGCAGTTAGAGATCGTATCCCCCTATAGTCCGTATTGAATTGTTGTAAACATTAAGGCCCCGGAATGTGTCTTTTGGTTAAGGTGTTCGGTGGGGATTCTTGTGTCGACGGGTGGTGCAAAAGACTTCCCTCATGATGGGTACTGGCTGCTTCTGCGACCTGAGCTCACGGTTACAATTTCTTGCATCGCTGTGAGCCATATCTCCTTCCACAGCCTATAGGATAGTTTACGAGTACTAAGTCTGACACTGCGGTATTTGTTGTAAAGTTAGGCCTCTTGCCTTTGTGGGCTGCAGGGTTGGTGACGAACACGCGTCAAAGAGCTTCGTCCATATGTCCGGAGCACCATGCTTGGCAATCGTCAGTAAATAGCTGGATCGCTAGGTAAATCGATAAATAGACAGCGTCCAAGGTCTTCTTAGCACGTTCAACCGTCATCTACAGCTGAGGCACTTCAACAACGGCAGCTTTCCACCTGAAGCTTGGGATGTAGGGCATGTAGGGCTCAGGGGTTCAGGAGTTTACGGTGGGCGCCACTAAACCCTAAACCCTAAACCCTAAACCCTAAACCCTAAGCCCTAAACCAACCCTGCGAAACCCACTTCTGCCATCAGTTGTCGCGTCGGCGTCCACAGCGGGGAGTGCATCGGCGGCATCGTCGGCACAGAGATGCAAAGGCAAGAAGCAGCTTGCTGTACCCTCCTTATGTACTGTAATGTACTATGATATATTGTAACATACTCTATATATATATATACATACATATATATATATATATATATTACCGCAATATACTTCATTGCTGGTTCTCAGGCTCAACAAGGCCCTGAAGGACAGCATTGACAGCTCTTTCGGATCAATGAATTAAGAGGTCTGGTTCATGTGGGTAGCTTGATTCCATCGTTTGATGTGACAACCATCGCATCTGCCGGTCTTGTCAAGTTGCATCTCTGAAGCCAGCTACGGCAGTCAAGGTCAGCACTAAATCCCATGCCCTCAATCTGTGCGCGGCATGAGAATTGAAATGCTTTTAAGAGGCCGACTGCTCTCGTTCCCACAGAGAAGAAGAAAGATCCCCAAGCCCGAAACCGCAACCCCTAAAAGCCCTCAAGCATAACTAAACCCCAAACCCTGAAAGCCCAAGCCCCGAAGAAAACATCGCAGATACCATCTCTTCGGCAAGCTCATGACCGAGGTTGAGGCCGGTTGCAATCTTCTATGCTTTTAGGGTTTAGGGTTTAGGGGTTTAGGGTTTAGGGTTTAGGGGTTTAGGGGTGTGGGCTTTAGGGTTTAGGGCTTGGGGCGTTGAGGCTGTAGGGTTTATAGGGTTTAAGTTACTAAAAGACCACTACAATGTACACGATAAAGCTTCCAGCACCATAAGAGCTGCTGCAAAGGTGAGTATAAGAGTAACCTAAGGCGGAACTTACGTGAGCCGTTGTTTAGTTCTGTGCTTTGGTTTGAGGTTTCAGATTTCATAGTGGTTTAGCCTTTAGAGGTTTCAGTTTCAGGGCAAGGGAGAGTAGGGTTTGGGGTTGAGGGTTTGAGCAATATGGGGGGCCTTAATGATTACCTATACTATTTTGGGGGCTCCTTATGATAATTACAGTATAATATACCCAAAACCGTATTCATTATTAAGGCCCCTACATTACGTTTTGTGTTTAAAGGTTTTTTTGACAACTTCATCCAGGAAGGAACTCTGGAAACTTCTTCCTCTGAGCCAAGGATCGGGCTTTCGGGTTAGGGTGTGGGATGTAGTGTGGGGTGAGTTTAGGGTTTAGGGTGTACGGTATAGTATAGGGGGGTTCTTTCATCTGGGTTCAGGGTGAAGGGTTTAGGGCCGTTTAGGGCTTGGATTTTCTGACCCAGGGAGCCGCATTCCTTTAGCAGACGGCCTGCGTGCTGGTTCGGTTGGGACTTCTGAGAGGGATCTCGAATGATAAGATGAGTATGTGGAGTCTCAGTCTCAATCGAAAGAATATGGCGAAGAGCTTAAAATCAAAGGATGCCCATGAAAACCACTTCTTCTTGCCCAATATAGGTCCCTCAAACATCTGGGTTCGAAGTTCGCGCGGTAGACGTCTATGAGTTGATCTTCGCCTGTTTCTCGGCCTTGAAGTTCAGGGCTCAAAGGCTTCAGGTTTAGGGTGTACGTCCTCGAAAGGCTAGCTAAACCCAACGCGCAAGATCCTTCAAGAGGCTTGAAGCTCTGAGCCCCCCCAAACCAAATCCCTCCCCAAACTGGTCGAGGCGGTCATGTCAATTTCACCGTGTGGGCCGACTCGGCAGGGATGGTCGTAAGTCCGCACCATTGAAAGAAAGGCCCCAAGCCCTAAAGCCCGATACCTCCAGATCCTTCCTAAGTCCCTATGGCCCTTTACTGAAGCCGGTAACTGCGCCAGACATCCCTTGGAAGGATCCCTTATAACAGGACCCCCCCTAGATTTAAAAGGAGTTCAGCCCAAAAATCCAACAGGTGTTGGAGTCCACGGCGCCCGAGGGAAGAGTGCAGGTCTCCCAGGCTGGCGCCGGCCTCTGAAGAATCAGGGGTTTAGGGTTTAGGGTACCGTATGTATGGATTCTTCTAGTGAGGGTCCTGTGCTAGGCTAGCGTCTAGGACTCAGTTCTGCATGGTTTTGGGGCGTTTGAGGTTGGCGATGTTGGGTCTCAAACCGCAGCAGCGCCTCTCTGCGCAAAGGTTGTTGTCATTCTTGCCCTAGTGTCAATTACGGTCGTCAATAAGCTTTCTGGCTGCTCGAGGTTCATGATGCCAAAACCCTGTCAGTCTAGCACTAAGGCCCTATCCCTTACCATCTGAGCCACAGCCTACGAAGCGCGCAATCCTTGCCCCCGTAACCTTAAACCCTAAACCTTGAACCCCTAAACCTCTAACCCCTAAACTTCAGCCCCCAACTGGGCACTGGAGCCTCAGCACGAATGCTGGCCAACACGCACAGAAGTTTCGGCCTTATACAGGCCCAGGCCACAGTCAATATAGGGATTTGAATAGTTAGCATGGATATCCTTATAAGAAACTAGTACATAGTAACAGCAGTAATAAGAAGAATAGCACTAATTACTAGTATTGATATTCCCCTAATAAATAGTCCTGTACAGATAGAGCATGCCATGCCCCAAAACCCGGTTGAAACTGGGAAAGCCCCTATATTCGTCACGCATGCGTCCAGCATCCTTACTTCTTGAAGCCTGAGACCCAGTATGTCTATCGGCCAAGCGCTGCGCACCAGGTACAGTGGTCGGTGACCTGGGTTCCTTTACTTGGATCCTTCACAGAACCCTTAGCGAAGCGCTCACGTCCTCTAGACCCTACGTTGTCCGCGACCTGCGAAGATATTGGCTTTTTCGATCTTTCGAAGGAGAGACAGTGCTTAAGTGAGCGACTGTTTTTTGGAACCAGGGGTCAATTTAGTTTGAGCAAGGAATGTCAGCCGGGCAGCCTCTGAGCCTAAACCCAAAGGGTTTAGGGTTTAAGGCTTGGGGCTTAGGTTTCGGGCTTAGGATTCAGGGTATAGAACTCCCACCCCGAAGCCTAAACCCAACTCCCAAAAGCCTTATCCCTAAACCGGAGCCTGGAGGCATGCAAGGATGCTGTGAAGAGGCAAATGCTTCTAGAAGGCACGCCGTCCGGATCGATATACCTCCAAAAGCTGATTGCCAGTGCAGCTAACTGCCTTAGAGGGGGCAGAGGTTTTATAGGGGGATCGGACTACAGTAGCAATTGTCTCCGCTTCTAGACTTCCAGACAACTATTCTACCATACACCCAGACTCGCTATTCTAGCTTTTGGATGTTATTGGGGCCCCTATCTTGTGGCTTCAGGGTTTTATGCTCATAGCTACCCGGTTTAGGGCGCGGCTTTCGGATTTCGAGGTAGCGGAGTACTACAATCCGAAACCCAACCACCGCCTGCATTCCATCGGTGCTCGAACACTAAAACCCCAAACCCCCAAGCCAACCCTAAGCTAAACCTCCTAAACCCTAAAACCCTAAACCCTAAACCCTAAACCCTAAACCCTAAACCCTAAACCCTAAAAGCTAAACCTCCTAAACCCTAAAGCCCTAGAGCTTGAGCCCGGCTCTCCCAAAGGCTCTGACGGCTAGTTCGGTCTCCAGTCGTTCCAGCATGCTTCAAGGAATTCAATCGTCCCAACCAAGGCGGCAACACCTGGGGTTTGGGGTTTAGGGTTTAGGGTTTAGGGTTTAGGGTTTAGGGTTTAGGGTTTGGGGTTTAGGTTTAGGATTTAGGGTTCAATACTTCCAGTGCTACTCAGGCCCACTCAGGCTAGATACTCGAAGAAAAGTACAAGGCTAGTGGCCACTTGATGCATCCATAGTGAGGCTATGACCCGTACTGCCCCGGAAAATCAGGCACGTCCGAGAGCCTGGAAATGTTCGTTTTCGAGGCCAAGGGGCATGCTGGCCCTAAGCCCTAAACCCCTAAAGAATAAACCCCTAAATCCCTAAGCCCTCAGCCCTAAACCCCTAAACCCTAACCCCCTAAAAGCCCTAAACCCTAGACCCGAAACCCTGGGTTTACCTCCAGAAGGGACCTCATAAGCTCTGAGCTGCCTGAAGCTTCGACTCTCTTAGGCCTTGGACCCTTAAACCCTGAGCTGCAGAGCCTCAAGGAACTCCGACCTGCGAAGGGTGAAGTGAACTCCTTGCAGCCTGCGGCTAACGGTTTAGGGTTTGGGGTTTAGGGCTTTAGGGCTTTAGGGTTTTAGGGCTTTAGGGTTTTAGGCTTTAGGGCTTCAGGGTTTAGGGTTTAGGGTTTTGGGTTTTGAGTTGCTCAAGTTCCATGCTTTGGGCTAAGCCAGCCGAGCACACTTATAGAGCTCTTACAGAGACATCCTAAGCATGCATGCGGACACCCCAAATGCCGAAGTCAGAATCCGAAAAAAACGATTGGAAGTGCGGGGGCCCAGGGTGCATGGTTCCCTGGACGACCACGGCAAAGCTTAGGCTTTGCACGACTCAACATGACAACAAGCAACTACTGGAGATTACGCTGCACATAGAAGAAGATGGCACTCTTCTTTGTGGTACACTCGTGCCGAATCATCATCCCAGGCGAGCTCTCCAACTCCGTCCCGTAAACCCGAAGCCCTAAATCCTAGTTGATCCTGAACATTTTGGGTTTCGAGTTGCCTGAAATGCCAGGTGTCTTCGCCCCCTACTGCCCAAACCCTACCCCTAAAACCTCGACCGGCAGGCGCGGGAAGAGCCGAGCCTCCTAACCTCCAAAGGTGAAGAGCACCACTATGCGGAGGCGCATGGGCTTATAGTTTAAGGTTTAGGGTTCAGGGGTGCGAGAGTTTAGGGCCCAGGTTTGAGGGTTGAGGGTTTCGGATTTTTATCTGCCGCGAGTGAATAGAGCCTGCAGTTGGTGCGCATTGAGAACCCCGCATGAACAAGCTTCAGCAAGGTGGAACCCAATATCGGTGCAACTATCGCGAAGGTTGGCGGACAGACCTACGTTGTGAGAAGCTACGCAACGTTTCAGCATTGATTGGACAAAACATCGACAGATAATCTGGAGTCTAAGCCACTACCCCGAAATTCAAAAATAGGCCTCAAATCAAACCACAGAGACAATTGAGGCCGAGACTTTCCATCTACATATAATAGAGAATATCCAATAGAGGGCCGAATT